ATATACACACACACACACACACACACACACACACACACACACACACACACACACACACACACACACAGTGAGGGAGACAGAGGCAGATAGACAAAAAACGATGCGCTATTTTGGGCATGTAATTAGTTTTGAGGGTAGGCTAGTAGAGATCCTGATGAGTAATCGAATCGTGTATACGCGCACCTCACGCTTGGTATTGCTGGTGCACAAAAGTATAGCTCATAAAAAGGAAACTAAGAAGTATAATAAAATTTTATAAAGAAAAGTAGGGATAGATTTATGCATAACCTAGCTAGCTGTACTAATACTGAAGTCTTAATGATACACAAAGTATTGAAACATTCAAAACTACAAAAACTGACTTATTTAAAAAATAAATGCCCACTTTGGCAAATCACTAATAAATATATTTAATTTTAAGAAACTTTTTTGTAGTTTTGACTTTCTTTACGTCACAATGAGATAAAGGCATTGGTTATCAAGCATTTCTGCATTGGGTTCCGAGCCTAGTAATCCACCTATTTCAATACTTGACCTTGTGTGAAATTACGGAGTGAATTTTGATACCTTTAATTTAAAGGATCGCATTTTCACTCATTACGATAGAAAACTCTGGCTTCGAGACTCCGCTGATTTTATTCTAGAAACCAACTTCTGTTTAAAAACTTAACTCGTTCAGTTATAGAACCATTAGTTTCGCTTAGTTTGAATATTCTTTATCTCAGTAATTGGAATAGGCTTAACAATACTCTGCCCTAGGTGCAACCTTGATCTCTTTCCTCTGACTGTGAGTTTGTCGTACTTTTCTAATCCTAACTTATCACATTGTTAGCTTATCCACTTTTACCTGAATTTCCGATCAGAGCAAGTTATGTAATTAGAGCAAACCTAAAAATCAACCTAAGCTGATTATAATGAAAAAGTGTTCAAAATTGGTAAAACGCGCGTCTATGGCAAACTTTATTTGCAACGTTTCGGGCAAAAGCCATTCGTTGGGCAGTTTAAACTGTTACGTAGAAAAAAGGCTTAGACAGAACCGTTGAAGGATTAGAATATACAAGGATTCTAGATTACTGTGTGGAGCACGTTAACAAAAAATATTGTTAGAAGGAACATTGTAGAAGCGGTTCTATAAGCGATTTCAAAAATGGAATATAAGTATTAAAGTAATAGAAATTGGATTTTAGAAATTATAAGGACACAAATTTTGTATTTTCTTTGTAATATTGTATGTGAAAACTGCGCTTAGTCGCGTGGTGGCGATTTGCAAATAAACTAGGATATACATTTACTTAGATAAAATAACTATGGAGCCAATAATTTTACTTCGCAGAAAACCTCCTGCAGAAACCTCTGTACCCCCCCCCCCCCCC